CAATCAGTCAATAAAATAAACTATCAATCAATCTTTTGGTTGGCTGCTAGGTTGGGCACACAGTTGTTCTGGCGATTGTTCAGCATTCGTTCAGTCAGTCGGTCAAGTAGTCAGTTTGTTGGTTTATCAGTTGCTCAGTCATTTTTGTCAGTAATTCAGTCAGTCAGTCCGTCAGCTGGTTAATCAGTGAGTAAGGAAGTTAGTGAGTCAGTTATTCAGTGAGGTAAGTCCGCTAGCGACAGTCACTCTTTCAACCGTTTAGCCTGTAGGTTAAGGAGCTAGCTAGTTTGCAAATAAATCAGTAATTCAAATAATTCAGCAGTTAGTTTGTCAGTGACAACGTCCGTCAACTTTGTTAAACGGACAGTTTATATCTCTGGAGGAATTTGAACCTGTGTATATCCCCCTTCTCACCACTTACTTCTTTGCGGTGGAATGCCTGAATTTACCGTCCCCTTTTTTCAAACTCTTGTTCCGTTCTCCTAACATTAAAAAAAACAAGGTAAAAATTACATATTTGATAAGATACTTAATGCGCTGTGGCAACTGCTTAACTTGATGAAACTGGTTAACGACACTCTAAATGTAAGAAAATCACAAAATAAATAGATAACAGTAGGGTAATCCGCGAGGTAATGCTGGAGAAATAAACCGAATTGGCTGCTTTCGTTTTGTTTTGTTGGTTTGTTTGTTGTTGCTGTTTTTTTTTACCGAGGTATTCCAAATAAATTCGCAACAAAATTTGTTTATTTGATGAAACGGCAAATAAAGGAAAAATGAATAAAAATAAGAACGAAAAAATTACAATTTTTTTGCAAAATGTCGGCGAAACAAAGAGGATAGAATAATAAAGTGGAAGTAATTATTACATGAAAAACTGTTTTTTTGCCAAAGAAATTTGCATCGGGTATATTTAATGGCCTTCTCTTTTCTATCGAGACTCATCAAAATTCGCAACAGAACATTGCACTTTTTGCGAAACAAACCCAAAGCCAAATTAAAAACGGATAAAAGACCCGAAATACCCTGCTTTCGTGCTCGTGACATTTCAATTACCAGTTATCAAACACTTGTAATATTACACATAATAGATTCATGTCAAACTTTGGGATTTCTTAAGTGTTTGGTCTTTTTTATCTTTTGCTTGGCAATTTTCTTGAAAGAATTGCATAAGAATGTTAAAGCTCCCAAATGAGAATTACGTGAATCTATACTCAACTTGATGTTTTCATACTTATTGCCGTTCATTTTGGCCGCCACCTGTTATGCAAAATCTTAATTTATTGCGCCCAAATTTCGCTCATTTGCATTAAAAAATTTCATCTCTTAGTCCTGTTTGAGGATAATTGATATTCTTTGATTTGACCACCAGTTATAGTGGTAAGAAAGCCAACTGTGAAATTAAAAATTTACTTCATTTAGAGCTTGGCAATACCTAAGGGAGGTAATGAGACTCTGAACTGATCGATACGCAGGAGAGCTTAATAGACCTTAGAAGGTTTGTCTATCTCTACCACAGTAACACTGAATGAGTTGTCAAACAAACAAAGAATAGCGACCAATTTTCTAAAAAAAAAAAAAAGGTTGGCTATACATTTTTAATAAATAAGGTAAGACAAGTTACCTTGATTTAGATCAGTATTCTCAATAGGTGCCGGTTCGATTTTTTCGGCTTCATCAAGTACTCCTTGAAACAAAAAGGTAAACACTGTCATTCTCCCTATTTTAAACTAATGAAAAATATTGTACCTTATTTTCCATTATCTCATTATTAGTGATTGTTTCAGAATCAAGTCAGACTATTTTGTTTTTCTTTATTTCAAATAATGACAATAACTGGAGACAAAATAACAAAGAAATTTTTCAAAACTTTTAAACCTAACAAAATTGTGTTAGAACACGAGATTTGTAGAATTTAGAACTAACGTAATGAACGATGAGGGTTGGATAACTATAATGATGTAAATGAACTGTGTTGATTTGTATGTACGAAAATATCCATCTGACCCAGATCCCTCCAGAAGTAGAAAAAAAAATAAAAACTACCATTAATACAACATATTGTAGAGTCTTGGCAATACAAGCTAACAGAACAGCAACGAAAACTTCAGTACGGAGCTTTTATCTACATAAAGATGACATTAGAGAAGAAACTTCAGCCTACCCTGTTGTGGATGACGCACATCAACATGAGCCAGTTCGATAACTACACCCTCGACTTCCCCTTGAAAAAAATAGTTAATAAAAAATATAGTCAGAGATTGCACTGTGTTGTCATTCACAGTTTTCATGTCCGTACTGTGTTCACTAGAAGGAAAAAATGTCTTACCTCCCAAGCCGCCATGTTGTTCAATGTCTTCCATGCCCTGTGGGTTCCGTTGTTCTCCATCTCCTTGGCCTTTTTAAAGAAAGCAAAGAAAAAAATTGTGAACGAGCCAAGAAACAAATAAGTGATAGAACGAAGGATTTTTTGTGACGAACGCAGAACGAGATCTACAATTTCAAACTACTAAAACGTAATAGACAAGAAAGGTTGAGTAATTAAAATGATAATGATAAAATTTATTTGTGTGTATGAAAATATCCTAAAGTCATAGATCCTTCAGTTATAGAGGAACACAGGTACAATATAAACTAACAGAATAGCATTGAAAACTTGACATTAAATTAGAAACTCTAGCCTTACCCTGTTGTGGATGATGCACACCAACACTCGCCAGTTCGATTTCTTCACCCTCAATTTGTCCTTGAAAAGAGAAAGTAGATAAAAAATGTACACAGACTAACCCTGTGCCCTCGTTTGAACTTTGTATGATATGTTAACTGACATCTGAAAGGTTTTTACCTCCCTCGCCCCCATGTTCTACATTTTCTTCCATTCCGTGCTGGTTAACTTGCTCTCCCTCTCCTTGGCCTTTAATTTTAAAATTAAAAAAAAAAAAACAGGGAACATAAAAATAAGAGAGAAGACATAAAAAAATATTTTTAGTCACAGATTGCCCTTTATTTCCCTCGTTTATAGTTTTCACGGTATTTCTAGAAATACGGGTAAGGATTTACCTCCCTCGCCGCCATGTTGTCCATTGTCTTCTACTCCCGGTTGGTTCGGTTGTTCCCCATCTCCTTGGCCTTTTAAAGAAAACAACGAAGAAAAGTCAATGATCGAGTCAAGAAATATTTATTTCGTACAACAAATGAACCGACCAATAAAAGAACGATGGACCGAACGAGCGAGTAAATGATTAAATGAATGCCTCTATGCATGCATGAGTGAATTGATTTATGACTGAGTGACTGAATGAATAAATCAATAGATCAATAAACTTTGTTTGCAGCAATCTGTTGGTTTACATCGTTTTTCGGTTTATTTCTTATCAGGAGCTAATAATTATATCGCACCTTCCTGATCCCGACCACAGCAGGTGAAAACGGTCTTCAAGTAGTTCCAGACTTTTTCCATTTTGTTCTTCAGAATGCCTCTGACCTGGATACAAAATAATCGAGATTTCGCTCACTGCCTTGAGCTGAGCTCCGATGACAAAATAGAAACTAACGAATTTCTGTTGTCCAATGCTTTTGAAACATTGTCAGTGTCCATTGCAAGTGAACAAAGCAGTCTTGAGCAATATTATACACTGCTTATAGTCGGCTGAAAACCATTACCCTTCCTGTACCTAGCCATTATAAGTCTACTTACGGATTTTATTATCTTGACTACTTATAATGGATTAAAAGCGCATAACGCACCTGTTCTGTTGACAAGGTGTACAGGATAGGATTCAAGGCCGAGTTGATCGGAAGGGCAAATACAGCGATCCAGACAGCGAGGTCTCCTTGCGCTTCGTAAGACTTCTCGATGATGGTCCTCATACCAATCACTATCACCGGCATCCAGCACACACAATCACTCAGGATGATGAAGAACACCCGCCTTGCAAGAGCCGTTTCCCTCCTAAAGTTTGCTCTTCTGGCCTGGATCTCTCTTTCAGTACCCTGACGGGCCAGTCGCCGGCTAGACAAGTAAGACTTGACTAGTATCATGAGATAAGCACCCATGATGAACAAGAAAAAAGCAAAATTCAAAGCGAGAAAGATAGCAACAGAATACTCCCAACCTGCCGGCTTATCAGAAGTAAGCTGCAAGGGCAGACATACCACACTTCTACCATAGTAACTATGGTACCTGAATGGGTCTTCAAAATACTGAATACCAAACATAGGCAAAAAGGCCATAAGGAAGCCAATTGCCCATATGATGATGCACAGGATATGTGTTGCCTTTGGTTTCAGAGAAGCACCTTGGTAAGGAAACACAATATTTTTAAGCCGATCAGCAGATATCAGTGTCATCATCATAACCGAAACCTCACTTGACAGAAGGGAGATCGCTCCAATTATTTGACAAGACAAACCAGACCTCCACTGGAAGTCATGCAAGTAATACTCTCCTCTCCACAACAGATCTTTAGTGCCAAGAGAGATCAGGTAAATACCCATCAAACCATCGGACACTGCTAAGTGGAGCAACATGATGGACTGAACCACGTTCTTTTCTTTAAAGATCACTCGCCAAGTGACAACAAACACTGCACCAACCAGAGAAAATACTCCTATCACCCAGATACTCTTCCTTGGGGCAGAATTCTTAAACATGCTCTCACAGTTGGCAAAGTCGTCGTTGTACGTGAAAGCACAGTCAGCGTCCTCCTTGTGCATATGACAACACATCAGATTTGTGTCGAGACTCCTACAATTGTAAAATATCATCCACTGAAGTTATTTCATTAAAACTTCACAGAACTTGCTTTTAAGCATATATCAGTAACTGATGGCTGGAGTTATCCATTGACTTATACAAAATATTTTTTTTAAGAATCCAAGTCTTCAATTCTTTTTGCAAAAACTTGAATTTCCCCAAAATGTTGTCTACTCAAAATGTGTAGCTTTGCTCAAAAACTAATAATTTGCGAATGAATTTTATCAAAATCTTACACTCGTTGTATATCCTTCAACATATCGAAAAAACCATATGGAATCTCCCTCATCTTGTTATACTGCATATACCTGGAAATTAAATTAGGAGATTAAAATGCAGTGATCAAAAGCCGCAAAACTCCACAACAAAAATTAATCTTTCAAATAGGCTCTCTTAATCCCACAATGTCAACGAAGTCTTTCATTTAACTAATTTATTCGTGTTTATTTCGTGATCAGGTTCCCTCTAATCGCGAAGCGTCTTTTCCTGTTTCTAAACCACCTACAACTTACAATTCCTCTATTCTTGTACGAAGGGCTAATGCTCAGGCGTCCGCTTTTGAGGCTATTCAGGGTGGCCAATTTACATCACCAACTCACTTGATAATAATTAAATATTGGATAAGATTGGTCATGATATTATCATAATGCTGAAGTCTGAGTTATCTGCCGAAGCCGGAGGCTGAGGCATTTAAAGCAGACACAGGGTTTTGCAGCCCATGATATCATGGGAAAAGCGAAATCATTATCTGTTTTAATGTACATTTTTAAAAAACTCTGCGAAAGAAGACATTTCTCTCTGACTTTGCAAAAGTTTCAGGACGTTACACTGACGAGGGGCTTGGAAACTAGTCAGACTTTGAACTCCACATGATAACCCAATACCTGATGGATATATCGGTTATCATGTCAACTTCACACGCTTTTGTATATTGACTGTACGCTCTCAACCAATCAGAGTTTCGATGTAGAATGACACCAAATATCTTGAAATGCCCTGCGCCGACGCAGCACTAAAGTTTCTTTACAAACTTACTCCCACTCAGCAAATAATCAATCTGCTGTCAGGAAAGCATTTCCGGTGAGTTGCAGATAACGTAAGATTCTTTTACAATAAAAGCATCGATTTGAAGTGTTTTCATAATGTTTCAATTGTGAAATATTACACCTTAAGGTAACAAGGTCCGTTTCACAACTTGGTCATCACTTGATTAATTATAACACTCACAGAATTTTTAACTGTTTAATTTCTTTGAAGTTGTCGATGGAGACATGAGTCATTTCGTTTTCAACAATTTCTCTAACAAAAAGAAAGTGAAACTTAATCATATAGAGTAACAGGGAAGGTAAAATATTTCGACATTGATGTGTAAATAATCATTTAAAGGTGAAATTAAATGCATTCAAATGTCATGATCGTTATAGGTTATTTCAAAGCTTATTACTCACTTGAAGAATTTCATAGTCTACTTACATAATCAAAAGCTCTTTTAAGCCTTTAAAAATTCCTTGTGGGAAGTATCTGAGTTTGTTCCCCGATAGATAGCTAGTGAAGAAAGGAAACAAATGAAATGAATGTTGGACATAATGGATTAAAGAACGGGGCATTTGTAATCGTTTTCATAGGAATCAAAGGGATCATGAGAATGCTCACTAACGTTTTGCAATATTATTACGAGAAATTTTTGGAGAAAGATAATTGATGGGCTGGGAATCAGGAGATTTCTTTTAAGGCGTATCGTCAGGCATGAATTGCAAAATTTCCAAGGATGTATAACAAAATAAACTTGGTACTGAAAAGCCACTCGCGTGATGTATCGTTAGCATCAAGAAAAAGGTCCTACATAGACCCTCATCATGACTTAAAATCAGAAATTCCAGGAAATGAAAGGATGTCTTAAAAACATGAAAAGGTGGATCGGAGTAGACATTATTCCGCTTGCAGTAATGAACAAATTCAGCAGTCAGGCCAAAATATGTTACCTGCACGATAATATATTTTTACTTTTGATAGATGCCTAGATTCAAAACTTGTGGAATACATAAATGTTAACGAACTACTCACAGGTCAAACAGCTTTACCAGTCCCCGAAACTGTTGAGGATGCAGCTCCTTTATCTCATTCTTTTCAATTTTTCTGTTGAATTGCAAATCACGGATATGTTCTTGGCCAGTTTTCTTTTAATTTAAACGTTGAATGTTATATCAGTGGTCGGTACTTAGAGTACCTTTTGAGTGAGTGTCCAAAAGCAAGAGCCGGAGTAATCACAATAACCAATCAAAGCAAAGGGAGGCTAAGGAACCAGTGTACATTAAAAGTACAAACAATTCAAGCACAAAGCCTCACGCGCCGGAAAATGCGAGTTATCAAGTGACGTTTGGATTTTGGTTTGGTGCCCGATTGGTTGATAGGGTGGCACAGGTTTTTAGATTGATCAGAGAGGGAATAAAGTAAAACGAGAGCAATCTTCGATTTATTTTGGCAATTTATTAAATCAACTGAATGAATCTGTCTTTGACCTCAATAGCTCCAGAATTATCGAATTCAAAAGCAATTCTTAGAAAGTCCCCCTAAACAACTACATCTTCGTACTTTACATTGGGTATCTTTTGAGATGTGCTGCAAATGTTTTCGTTTTTCTTTTTTTTTTTTATCCCAAAAATTCATCATTCCATCAATCGATCAATCGACTATTAATTAACAAGAGAGGATAATCCTCCTTTACAATTATTCAGTCATTCAAACCATTTTTCACTACTCACATTGTCTTTAGCTTGGTTAGGTTAGCAAATACCGTTGGCGGTAAATCTCTTAGTTGGTTGTTTGATAAAAGCCTGCAACAGTTAAACACACACTACCTTTAACTGCAAAGCAGAACTGGTTTCCCGTAGATAATGATGGCAACCGATAAGATCCAAATAACGATATGCTTACATATCTGTGTAATATAAATATGCGTGTTTTGCATTCATTCAGTGAGACACGTTTTAATGAACAGTTTTAATTAGATCAATTCGAAGGACATTTGGAGTGATAACATTTAATGAAAACTCGATTTTAAGTTCAAAACCTCTATTTTTGTGTATGTGCGTTGAAATTCAGACAGAAACGCGGAAAGTTTTGCCGCTCGACAAATTTTAGAGAGAAAATTTCTTTTCTCGTCGTGCTTTTAATTTTCTTTTATTTGTTTTTCTTGTTGACTTACAGTATTTTGAGATTTGCCAGATTGCTGAAGATTTCTTGAGGGAGATCCTCGACTTCATTATTAGACAGATCCCTGAAAGTTTCAAGGTAAAATGCATTAGTCTTTCAAAAAAAAATAACGCCATCCGAAATGTAAATCCCACAAAAAGTGAAACAGTGGGAAAACACTCTGAATTCTTTCGCTGCGTTTCACGGGCACTTGTAGCATGCTATGTTGCTGTAACATTATAATTATGATGAAAGTGCACCAAGCTACTGTGGATAGTTTTCATGCTCTTTACTCAAGTAACACCAACTGATGGGAGGGAAATGATGTAGAGTAGTGCAACCCAATACTAATGAGGAACGCCCACTGGTCAGAACCCGAGACCAGTGAATTTCGACGCTATAAGCTTTCGGTAAACCTGCCTTTTATGATGTACAATCGTCTTAGGATTGCCATGTTGCAATTGATTGTGACATGGTCACTTGGCCTCTTTTATCATCTCTGATATAAGGAACAGAAAATTGATAAAGAGCCAACACTTTTATAAACACATTGTATTGTATTGACTAAACTCACAGGTCGTTCAGTTCAGTCAAATCTTTGAAAACTTGTTTGTGCGGCGTTTCAATTCTGTTGTCTTGCAGCCATCTGAATAAAAGTTGGAATGATGCGACAATCCTTTTTATTTAGTTAAATTTGTAATTGCATCGTCTAATTTGGGTGTGTTTCTAATACTTATATTAGTATTACATAATACTGATCAACATCTTGACCTTTTTTTAAGTTGATTTTTGATAGCTTTCGATAATTTTGAAGCTGGCAACCTCGTTTTCCTATGGTGTTTCGTTTGTGCAACACTGCTGTTATTAATTGATTTAGTGTTTGGAACAACCACCTTGCGCATTAACTCGCTCATTCATCCAATAACAATGCATATAAATGCAAATGAGCCTTTCTGACCTTCGCCACAAGTTCACTATCAATAGAAGTTTTGATCAAAAGTGGAGCCAGGATGGCTTATTTGCATAATTCAAATGAGTCAGAATCACGCCCGCCATTATGAAAGAAGCCTTCACCGTAGCGTATGGCCATCTTTAGCGATACGTTTTCATGCTTTCCCTCCTTACTCAAAAACACATAATTCTCCACCTTCATTGCAGAGGTTCCGCTTGTTTTAAAAAATAATTTTAGCTACTATTTTTTTTTTGTATTGAAAGTTTCCTTTCCTAAACTCACAGGCGCGTCAATGCTGTTAAACCGTCAAACAAACCCTTCTGTATCTTTTCCAGGTTGTTGTTGTTGAGTTGTCTGTATGAGCAGAAGAGTTAAAAAAAGTGCTACAATTACTCTAATTTGAATCAGTTGAAATAAAATTATTTGAACCGATTGCCTGTCTAAAGCTTATAATTTAGGAATTAACAAGTACTCAGTGAACTCGAAAGTAGTTCTAGTTCAGTTCATTCGAATTCAATACCACCCTTGTTTAAATTTTACTGCATAACACATTTGGCTTGGCCTTTGGAGCACCTGATGGCTTCTTGTCTCTCCTAAGATTTAGTCATTCATCTTTTCAATCAGTCACTGATTGTGGGCGTTTGCAATCGGTTTATATGCTACGCAGATATTTAGGGTTCAAGGATCTGCTTGATGAAAATGGAATATGCATTATTTGCATTAAAATGTGTGTTGTGCCACTTGTCAATAGTTGATATAGAGGACCACTTTCACTTAGCCACTGCAGCTTGACTGATTGGGAAAACAAATCGTCAGGGAACTTCTTGATCTTGTTACCTTCTAAAAACCTATGCGTGTTGAAAACTTTGTCTTACCATTAAATGGGGAGGTATTTAAATCCCGTTCTCTTTGACTGAGGCACTGGTCTAAGAAGGAACCAGCTTACGAGAACCAAGAACTCTTCCCTTCATTTGCAAAAGGTTGCATACTAGCTACGTGCATTAAAATAAAACACGTTTATCAGAGGAAGGGGGGAGGGGATAGAAATGGGATTTACATAACGAGGAGCACCGACAATGAAACTGAAAGGATTCTTTAATGAGTATATTTACTTTTGTTTGTTTAACTCTGTCCATCCACAAACAATCCCTTCCATGGTTGACTTCGCCCTCTATAAGCTCGAGCACTGTCTTACGAGTTAAATATTTTTTTGTTTAATTTAATTTTTTTGTCTCATTTTAAGGTTTGACGCATAACCCTAGCAGGGAAAGGTTTCTATCTCAATATACTGTTGCAGGTTACTATTCTCTGATTGACGCAGCTAATTAAAAAGCTAGCTGCTTATGAATGTATCAAAACGCGTAGTGGTAGTTACTATCAATTACAATAAATAAGAATCGATGGTATCGAATATGGACCTATGAATGTGTTACTTACAGGTAAGTCAACTCGGTGTTTTTATTGAAGACTCCTGGCAGTAGCTCCTCTATCTGGTTGTTACCCAAGTCCCTATAAGAAGATTTTTTCTGGATTTGAATTTAAAGTCTTTTGTCTGGTGATCTGTTGCTGTTAAGCAATTTGATATATTCCTCTCTTGGATTTACATTTTCTATGTGCCGTTTCCTTGTCATAATCTTTACATGTTTATATAAAATAGTGATCTAAATAAATGGATTAGCTTATCACATGATTTCGAGTGCAATTTGGGATAAATCAACACGAGTAAATGTTTCAAAGGCTAGCCAAATTGCACTAGCCTATAGGGTGAATGCCATTTAATGTCTTACAAAAATTTACGAGAATTTATAAATTATACGAAAAATCATTAATTTACTTGCTACTAATATACATGCAAAATTTGACTCTGTTTCCTCAAAGTCGTGTTTATTTCGTGTTATGGCTTGGTGATTAATAATATATACAATTCATGTAGCAGTTATTGAACGCCTCTAGCGCTATAAAATATGAAAGAGAGAAATATTTAACCTACTTTGTACATAAGAAACATTTTATACATCTCTACAGTTAGAAACTTAAAAACAAAAACTCTTGGTAATATAAAAAAAAAAAAAAAATGGGAACCATTGAAGTTGGCAAAAAGCTGTCCTAAATAAATGGGTTTCCAGGTTCCGTTTAAATTTGTTCAAACATCTTGAAGGAGTAATGGTCCTTAAAGGCAAAGAGTTCCCTAGAGACTAAGCAGCTGCTCGGCCACTTGCCTTCTCGTTGCTACCGGCTTGTTCGGGGTGTTTCTCCAGGAAGTTGCTTCGAACTTCTAAACTTTCTGTTGCGACACATCGAACGTTTGCTTACTTTCTCGGTTAGGTATAGCTTAATTGCAGTAACCAGTACACGAAGGCTGTCACGCTCGTAATCTTCCGCTTACTTCTTACGAACTGTCGCGATTTTTATTTTCAGGGCCTAGTTTTGTACTCTTCAATACTTTTTTTTTTTGCTTCGTTGCGTGTTTTCATTCTTTCACTTTCTCCAGCATTTTTTTTCTTGTGCTCCCGCGACTTTCCTGTCAATCAATTCAATCCCAACTTTCTTCCTTCAATCTCAACCAAAATTGCACGTAACGAATTTCAATTGCCACTTTATTATAGCTATTTTGGAATCACAGAATTCAGTCGCTTAAATACAGGATTTTTATTCTGAAAAAATATCTTATTGATCCAGTTATGAGCTGGTTTGTAAAAAGTTGCAAAAGTTGTCTTTCATTTTCTTGTTGCAAGAGTTGTCGAGCTTTTGCCCCAAGAACTTGCTTTAAACTTTTAAAACCTCTCTCAAGAATAATTTCGCGTTTTTATCTTTCCCTGTTAGGTATTCGTCGACAGCAGTAATCATTACACGAAAGTTATCATTCTCGTAATCTCCTTCTGTCTTTCATATGAAATGTTGCGTCAAACTCCTCGAGAAGGCCGTTACTCTGGGGCTCCGGTTCATACTTTCGTATCTGTTTTTGGAAGCCAGACTTTTAGTCAGTTGTTTTCCCTTTTTTTGGGTATGTTTGCTTTTAGTTGCAAAAGTTGTCTTTCATTTTCTTCTAATTTTATTGGTTTCTTAAATCAAGCCTTGAAATAGAATTGGTAGCTATGGTGCAATTTCGTAAATAAATCGCATCGATAAGAGCCAACCAGATTGCCATAATAAAAGAGCACTTAACTCCCCGGGGACCAAAGATATGAAAAAAAAAACAACAACAAAAAAAACAACAAAAATTGGAAAAATTTAAAGGAAAAGTTAAAATCCTGTCCAGTTAAAGAAGATCGATATACAAGCTTCTTGACTTACAGATTCTGTAGCTTCTTTAATGGAGTAAATAAATCCGCACGCAACTTTTTAATCTTGTTTTTGAGAAGCCATCTACAAAATAAGTGTTTATTAATTATCAGTTTAATAAATAATCACAGTTAAAGAACAAGATACGGCAACCTTAAGGTGTTATATAAGGAAAATTAGCGTTTTCATGCAAACTGATATAGCGTGAAGACGATATACTATAAACAATTTATTACGGAAGCCGAAAAGGGACAATCCAAAAAATAATATTGTGCAAATCCGAAAAAATATTTAGAATCAATATCTTATAGACAAATC